GACGGGGCTGGCCTGGTGAGGGGCCGTGCCCATGTGGCGCCACGCCAGCTCGCTGCACTGGTCACAAGCCACCTGGATGAGCTGCCTCACGAAGGTGGGCGTCTGCTCCTGCAGGAAGGGCTGCAGCTCCCGCGCCAAGGCCTCCTCGTGCAGCCCGTAGCGACACAGGCTGGCCACGATCCTACCCTGCGCGAAAGCCACGTCCCACCAGCAGGCCCCGCACAGCACCTCGTTCAGCCACAGCTCCAGAGGCTGCAGGATCTCGGCGTAGTTGCGGAACAAAAGCGCCCAGGTTTCGGGAGGGAACCCCGCCACGAGGCCCCCGGGCTGCGGCCCCGCAGTGCCCGGCTCCTCCCGCGGGCCGACGCTCCAGGGCACCGAGGGGTGCGGCACAGCCATCTCCACGAAGCCCTGGTCGGGCGGCGCCGGGTAGATGATGGTGTGAACAGCCTGCCTGCACAGGGGGCACGACGGGTTCTTCCTGGCCCAGCGCACGATGCAGCCCCGGCAGAACTGGTGCAGGCAGGAGCCCACGAAGGCGATGTTGCCCGAGGCTTCGCGGCAGATGGGGCAGCTCCACTCTGCCCTCGTGGCCATGCTGACGGTGGTGGCAGGCTAGAGACGGCTTCGGAACGGGAGCTGCTTGCCCTCGCTGTGTCGCAAGCTGCGGAGAGGGAGAGACCGTGGTTACTAGCTGTCCCAGCGAGAGGAGGAAAGAATGGCCAAGGCCCTGGAGAAACCATCCTCCCAGCTGAGTCCAGAGGGCACCCAGAGGCACAGCTCACCTTCAGTTGCCTGCCCCAAGAAGGCAGGGTGGGGAAACAGGAGTGGTGGCCCCGGGACTGGCACTGGGAGTTCCCAGTGGTAACCATTCAGTTTGGGAGGAAGCCTCACCTTCTCTCCTTTTCCACTCCATTTTAGTTCCAAATAACCAGCGTGAAAGGTGGGGGGGAGTGAGCATAACATTTTACCAGGGGGAGGGATATATGTCTAGCATGTTGAGAGTCTGAGATTAGTGTTTTTTGATTTGGCAGTGTACTGAAGCATACCAGAAAGCTTTTGCAGACGACAGGAACTAATGGCAAGTCCACTCTTCAAAACAGGAATAATTTTAAAGTTTCAGGCTAAGCTGCTGGCCTGCAACATGAAACAATGGTATTTTACTGGTTTTGCTGTGGAGGTGTGCTTTTGAGACAAGAGCCTTAGGGACCAGTAAAGTGTTGTGCATAGTGGTTTACAAAAGTGCCTAGTCCTAAAATAGGAGTTACATGATATGTAGCTAGATATTGAAGGAGAGTTGTGTTTGATTAATTGCCAGAATTAGCTAATTCTACACTAACTTTGTTTCCTAAGCAGATGTATTCATCAAAGGAAGTTCTTTCCTACTTACTTTTGTGACCAAGCTGGTAATTCTATGATTTCTAGTACATCAATTAGCCCTAATAACATATGAGTTAGAATTTAAGGATATGCTTGAGGCGCAGTGAGGATTCTTCTGGGATCACGGAAGTAATTTCACTAGCATTAAAACAACTGTCAAACTGCCAAATCAGAGCCTGTTCAAAGTTTTTTTTGGGAAACAGTTTTCTCTTGGGAAATAGCCGTAGATATTTTGTGCCTGGAAGTCTTAAATCAAATTAACCTCATCCTGCGCTGAAACTCCTGTTTTAACTTCCTGAAGCAATCAGATTACCTAGGGTAGACCCAAGCCCTCTGGGTGGAAGCCCTGAGAAGATAGCAATTTAATTTCTGTCCTATACTGTATCTCTAAACCTGGGAGACATGTTTGCTTCTGTAGACCCCTATGAAACACAGAATATAATTATATTCCTCTTAAGCAAGGCAGCAAGCAAGCCATAGCAATAGCAATCTTGAAGTAATAATCAGCTCTGTTCAACTAGAATCAAGAATTCAATGTCAAATTAGGATTTTGAATTTAATGTAAAATGCTTCTGTGGCTGGCTTTCAGCAGTGAGACACATTTCCCAGAGAGAGACAAGGACCTTCTGCTCCTGCAGTCATTGGCTTTGTGGAAACTAATGGAAATACTGCAACTCCCCTGACAGATCTCAGACAACTCATCATTATTGTAATAAATAATAAATGTCAAAGGTGTGTCTTTCATGAAGGGCTTCTACCTATTACAGGAGTAACTCTCCATGTTCTGCTTAAAAAAAAAAAAAAGCATTGAAATTACATAAAAGTAGAAGTACACATCCAGTACACCCATAGGCACAGTTGATTTATGCTGGGTGGATGTGTTGGTATGATGACCAATCTGTAAGGGGAAGAAAGCACCTAAGAAAGGAAACAAAAAGCTACACAGCATCAACTGCAGAAACAGCATACAAAGAACTAACCATTATGCCCTTTTCCCATCCCCATGTGACTGCTGGAGGTGATGAAGATAGAGAAATTGTGAATAAAATGAAACCTGGGAAGAAGGCAAGAGGTGGTGGGAGGCCCTTTTAAGAGTTGGTTCTAATTCTAATTAACATACTCTGATTTTGTTGTTAATACTTAAGCAAATTCCCCAAGCTGAGTGTTTGGCCCATTAGGTAATTGGTGAGTGATCTCTCCTTGCCCTGATCTTGACCCACAAGCCACTTCTGATATTTTCTTTCCCCAGTCCAGCTGAGGAGGGAACTTGATAGAGTGGTTCTGGTGGGCATCTCTGATCCAGCCATTGTCAGCCCACCACAGGTTTTCACCAGTGAGCAGCATTTTGTCATTCCACATGGTATCATACTGCACACAGCTGTAAGCACTCTCACCACAATTGAAACGTTATTTTTGCACCAGTCCATAGCTTTTCTCTTCCCATGTGTCTTGATCATTTCTGCCAGACACTGAAATGTAAGTGGTTTCTTCATGCCGTAAGGCAGCAAAGGCATTTAAGGAAACTGAAAAGACTGGAAATAGTTTTAAACTCAGAAACTTCTTAAGTTTCTTAAGCTTTATTACTCATTGAGCTGTCCTGCAGAAGCAGCAGAAGTCCACAGAAATATGACAGACTAGCTCCCTGACACTAAAGATTGTGTCAAGGACCAGCTTTCTCAATCCCTGTGGTCTTGACACAAATTTCACCGGGGTGCCCTACAGCTCTCATAGCACCAGTGCAAAAACCTGCTGTTCTGCAAAAAATACGGTGATTAAGAAATCCCTGTTGGAGAAAGACTGTGAGTAAAATACTTCTTATTTAACATTTTCAGCATGTTTTCCCTTGAGGGCTTTTTAATACACTCTAAAGTAAGATTGTAAATAAAAACTTACTGATGTCTTTGTAAGGGATTCAAGAGAATAAATTCTACCCTGCAGATCAATCATACATACTTTTGCAGTCCCTATGAAAGCCAATAGAGAAATGGTTAACACAAGAATTGATTTTTCACTAGATAGTCTTTTGAAGGGATGTGTTAATATAAAGACCAAGACATCTCTGAAAATTCCCTACATTTTGAAAGAGGTGATAAATATAAAATGAACAGACAAAGCACAATCAATATGAAAAAGGTTTTGCAAGTAAGAATCCGTTTAAATCCCTTGAAATACAAATGTGAACAGGAAATACAGATGTTAGCAAGGACTGAAGGAAAAAAGAGTCTGAGCACAGCAAAATTTATGCTGGACTCACAAACTCAGTTTAAGAGAAATTCAACATTTTCCCATGGAACTGAGAAGTAACATAAGATTACTTAAGAAGTAAGATTATTAGATTATTAATGAAAATAAATGTGTTCCTTAAAATTTTTCATTTGAAGAGCAATAGCAACTATTTCTAGAATAAAAATGCCATTTAGTCTGCAAAAACAAAATCACTACACCTTTTCATCTAATATCCCAAATAAATAAAGTCAAAGCTCATTTAAACCGACCAGATTTGAGTTGTTTTCTTTTATCAAGCACAATGTCCCAGCAGGACAAGAAAGATTCACTTTCTTGTCCTTCCCCTCCCAAAATCAGTCAACTGAGCAGAGTGTGGAGATTGGGACTGGTGTTGTGCTGGTTTATGTCAGGGAGGAGGCAGGGGGATGTTGCTAGCAATCTCCACCTAGGATAAGCCTGGGGCTGAGAAGAAGCCCTTTCCAAATAAAATCTCATTGAAACCACTTGTAAAACACGCTGTTTTATATGAAGAAAGAAAAAAGAAGAAAAAGAAATAGAAAAAAAGATTTTTTTAAAAAAATGCCATTTTCATAAGGATTGTTTCTGAGGACTCCCAGTCAGTTTTAACTTCAAATCAGCTTTAAGAACAGGCTGGTGAATTGCAGTACCCTCCAGGACTTGAGGCTGCAGTACTGCAGCAGAAGGGAAAACAGGACTACTAACGATACAATTCAAAGAGAACCCCCCATACTCTCTCTCTCAGTCTGTTTTATAAGTGTTTCATCTCTACAGCAGAACTATCAGGGGGATCCCTTTCATTATTTTTGAAATACATTTGTCATTCAGTTCACTCAAGATTTCCACACTGGACACTACTCATTTGGTGTGTAGTCTTTGAAACAGAAGTGTGTGATATTATGGGGACTGAAAGCTGACCTTTAATTTAATTTCTATGGACCATTCACTTAAGAGTTGCACTCAGTGACCCTTGTCCCTTCCAACTCAGAACATTCAATGATTCTTTAAAGTATTGGTAGACTTTTAAAAAGGTGCCCCTAATGATGAGATGAGTATCAAGCAACTATAAAGGGACCAGTGTAACTATCTTTGGAATTGGTCCTTCTCTGACCAGGTTAGGAGAGCTCCAGAGGTGCCATTCAGCCTCAAGGATTTTTTGAATCTATGATAGATTTCAAACAAGCAATAATTACACTGTCCTATTAGTGTATAACTGCAGGTTCTGTAATGTGCGTTAGCAGCTTTCAAAACCAGGTTTTCCTTAGTAAAATGCCTAAGCTCTAGCTCAACTGCTAGCAAAACCAGAAGAGAAACATTTGCTGAAAATGAATTCTTAAATTACATAAATGGGAGGTAGGTCTGAGGCTTCTCTGCCTAAAGCTGTCCTGTTGCTGGTGTTAAATCTGAGTCCTCAGCATGACCACTCACTGAAGCCCAAGGCTAAATCGTACCTATAAATCCAAAACCAGAGCACAGAAATATCTTCCCAGGCTTGAACACAGATTACAGTTGATCGAGGGCACTCAGTTCAAAGCAGCATAGATTCAAACTGTTTCTGAAAAAATGAAAATACCAGGAATTTTTTGTATATCTCTTCCTCTTCCTCTTTTCCCTGCAACAATATTTGTTCAGCTGATCTGCTAGAACAGGATTAATTTTTTTTTTTCTTTTTAAAATAAAGTTCATTTTTAGGCCGGAGGTATCTCTGACCTAGCTCAGCATGGGGTCATGAAGGTGTATGGAAGGAAGATGGAATCTGTAGGAATGTTTCCCTGAGTCAAACCAGGAACAGAACTCCTACCTACTGTGCAGTTCCAGCACCAGGCAGGTGTCCTGTCTGGGTCCTCTCCCTCCACTCTTTTGTGCCTCTGCCTGGAAGATGAGCAGATGACACTAACTCCTCTACCTCACTTCTGTTTAAAATTCCCACTTGGAGTTTTAATTTTTGTGTTGGGACTTAATTGAAAATAAGCAACAAAGAGCCTTATAAGTGAAAGTGGGAATTAATATGTACCAATGAATTCTGGGTTTAAGTTACCCCTTTTACCTTTCTTGAACCCATCCAAGGCTGACCAGGTAATTTGCTGACCCTGTAAACTCCATGTCCAGCCTGCTCAGGTAGCAATTAAATAAAGAACAGGTGATGGAAGAATAATAAATTAGCTGTGTCTAGAGTCATCCTTTTCCACTCCCTTTTTTGATTATTCCTTCCTTTTGCTTCTGTGGTAGTTACAGAGCTGATCAGTGACCTCAGGATTGCTTGAACTGCTTATAGATCCCTAGAAAAGCCACAGTGGGAGGGGTAGCCTCACTTTCACCTCAGACAATCATTTTTTTGAAAAATAAATAGAACTACAAAACTGGTGTTTTTCCTCCAGAAGTCAGACATCTATCCTGCTCTCTGTGTCATCTCTTCCTGGACATCATGTTGCCTCCCTCCCCGTTTTCTGCTGCAACTGCATTGCAGATACCTCTGCAAAGATCAGTTGTAGTACAACTAATTACATAGTGAAATTAGTTGTGCTCATTTTCAGATTTTGCTAATTTAATATCATTGTTGTAGGCATAGCAACCAGACTGAGAAATACATTAGAAAGCCTGTTAGAAAAGTTCACCTCAGGTGTGGCTAAAAGACTCAATGGTACACATCAAAGAAAATCTTCCAACTAGTGGTTTTTGCAGCTGAGGGAAATCAGTGGCTAATTGCAAGTTTCTGTTGGCATTTCAAAATGAAAATACCAGGAATGACCAGGAGGAAGGATAATGAGAGTTTTGTTTGTACAGGACCAGTGAGAGTCCATGGAAGTCACAGGGAATCTGTCCTCCACACTAGAACCTGTCTCTTTGCCCAGCAATCACCCTGAGCCACATGATTGAATCACATCACTTGTCTTTCTTTGTTACTGCTAGAGTAGATGGAGATACTCCTCTGCTTTCTTCCATCACACAAACAAAACAAAAACAAAACAAAAAAATCAGTCTTAAGGCTGAGGACCAGATGCTTCAAGACTGTCAGTACTTTTTTGGTGAAAGAGAATTGTTTGATGAAGTCTAATATCATGTTTGTACTGTATTCAGGGGATTATTTAATAGCAATATAAACCTGCAACATAACATCTGAATACATTTGAAATGTATCAGTCCCTTTTAAAATGAAAACATGATCATTGAGGACAATAAGTAGGTTTATAAGCAACAATTCTAACAGTTATTCTGTGTACAAAATCAGGACAACTTCAGGCTAATTTTTTCTCTCATTAGTATGCTGGCTGTTTGACTGTAAAATAAGTCATTCCTTATGCTAAAATTCAAGGTTTTCCACAGTGCACAACTGCAAAGTAGTATTTCTCAGGTATTCAAAAACCTGAAAATATAAAACCCTGAAAATCAAAGTCTATCTTTTAAATCATTAAACACAAACATTTGAATTTAAAACATTTTTATATCTATGATGCAGATAAATCAGATCTATGAAAACAGTGACCATAACCGAGGGTGAAACAATTCTCTTTCACCCAGAAATGTACATGTTTTGTTAACAGTAAAGGTAACAGGAAGGGAAAATATTGTGTTGATTTCTGGGAGGAGGTTTCTTTGTGTTTTTTCCGAAAAGGATGAAATATTTTTCCTTTTTTTTTTTTTTTTTTTTTTTTCCTGCATACTAGCACTGAAACAGTATTGATTCACTGAAGACTCCTTTGAAGTGTTCCCCTTTAGGTGTCATTAGATGGTACCATGTCACAGATTCCTTTCACTGGATACAACACTGCGTTAAAGAAATTCTATTGTAAGTGCATTTTGTTCTGTTACTTTGTGATGCTTTTATTTGTACCTGTGTTTTAAAAACTCAGTGGTGCAGCAGGAATATGAGGCTGCAATAAAGGACAAATTGGATCCCTGAGACAGGGGATCTAGATCTAAGCTTTCATTGTGACTCAATGAAACAACATTCTCTGCTTAAGGTAAACTTTGTACTTCAAACACACACCAGTAATATGAGAGTTGAGAACTCTTTTGGTTTAAGTCTTAATCAAACCAGCTATAGTGGACCTAAAAAATACCTGCAGGGGAAGCACACATAATCCTGTAAAACTGTAACAGTGTTTTCATTATAGTCATGTCAACATGGCATGGATAATTTTCTTTCTGGAGGAAGGAAATCCAAAATCGTACACAATCTGAACAAGAAATGAGGATGTTTTAACCTGTTCAGAAGATTTGTGCTGCAGATTACTGACCTGACAAAAGTAGTGTGTCTATGATAAATAAAGAACAATAAGGATTCAATTTCAAGTCTCCTTGTGCAGAATAATTGCAAGCTGGCTATTCTAAGGCTAATATGCATAGTCAAATTAATGATTTTGTGACAATCCAGAAGTGAGATGCTCTCAGTTTCCATAGGTGGGGGGGAGAAGTGGGAATGGAACATGTGTCAGTAATTCCAACTCACTGTCACAGATCAGAAGCCTCCTTGATCACTCAGCTCTTTCTGGTACTGCTGTCCTCTAAGATGACAGTGTAAGCATCCATCAAACATGTTCAAAAATGCAATTTCTTAAGATACTTCATCACTACTTTACTATGTTACTACCACTTCATAATACTTCATTTATTTGTGTTACAAAGTAATTTATACTCATCTCTCACAAACATCTTGATGTACTTTTGGCTGGAGTTCTGTAATCAAAAAAAAGGGCTATCCTTGCTCTGCTATCAATACCTTCCAAGTGAAGGAATAGGCTTTGAATAAGCCTTAATCTTCTGATGAAATCTAAAGACTTTTATGCTACTGTAACCAGTATGAATATATGCTGAATCATAATTAGATTTCAAAGATCTATTTACAATTGCATTTTCCATCAGATTTCTCTCCACTAGCATGGTATCTGCCCTTAAATTTGCCCTCACAACCATGTGGGAGCATATGTCAATGCTTGAGGCTCTCCCCTCCACCCAGAATGTTTGCAAGGCAGTCACCTATTGAAGTTACTGTGGATGTTATTTTTATATCCTGCTGTAACAGCAGCCATCTATTGACTATAGATCACAGACTATAAACTCTGTTTATTACTGGAAAAATTATAAGTGTAAGCACCATTTATCCATTTTCTCTAAATATTTCAACACAGAAAAAAACCCAAACCTCCAAAAGAAACCCAGGCCTTGGAAGCACATCAGCCCCCTGACCTTACCAGAGAACTCTGTCAATTCTACCAATCTCTCCTTTGTGCAACACCAACTCTGTCTTCTTAAGGCAGGACTGTACTATGCAGCATCTGAGTTCCTGTAAAAGAAAGACCCAAAGCCAGAATAGGCAACATAAAATCCCCCTTCTCTGGGTATCTTATTATATATAATACAAGTTTTTGATGTCACTGTGGAAAAATCTTTGCAGAAATTAATGCTACTAGGTAATTTTCTAGGTACCAGTAAGCTTTCCTGGATACCTCACTCATTAGAAGATGTTGTTTATTCTCATAGAGTTAAGGCCACTGCTGTAGTTCCTTAAATCACTCCTGTTGGGATATATCTTGGTAACCTGGGATACTCTGTGCAATGTGGAGGGAGGCAGGTAGAGTCCCACCGTCCTGGTAGATTAAGTTCACTGTGCTGCTGCATGAAGAATCTTCTGCTAGCCAGTTTACTGTGAAATCCTTCTTAGCCCAAGCCACACCAAAGTAAAATGCAAGTAAAATCATTCATTGCATTCAGTATAGAAGCAGCTACAGAGACTTAAATGAAGAATGAAGGAAAAAGCACTTTTAAACTACTTATGGCTAAATTCAATCTGAATTGCTATTGCTCCCCCTCTGGCAGACAGACTCATCACTTTTCCAAACACTTTGCTAGAGAATCCCTGCTTTCTCATTTTAATGAGTAAATATCTATTTCTTATGGCACATTCTGGTTTGTACCAACAACCTGGCCTTCTGAAGACCCGTAGGACTGAGACAGACTAGAACTTTCCTTACAAACCTTGGCCATTCCTTCATGTTCATGAAATTATCTGCCTTTTCCTCTCTGCTGAAATAGTTTCACTTCCTTCAGGGACTCAAGTTTTTTTAACCCAGGTGTCAGTTTCTGTGTTTGGTTAATTAACAATAAAATCTCTCCTTTTGGTAAGCGGCTGCTTCTAGATCTTTACTTATGAAGGGTCTTTGATGCTAAACCTCTTATGAATCACTCTGTGAGGACAACAGATATGAGGTAATCCCCACCAACACCTCACATCTGAGCACACCAAATGCAACATCCACTCTATGTGCAGTATTCATTGGCCCTTTTGTCATCCACATCTGATTTTCCTTTACAGAAGATCATTCCCTCAGAAAAGGTGTGAAAATATCACTGATGATGTACACTAATGGTTGCCTTACAGAGGGTTCAAATTCAGCCAGTCAGCAGTTAAGCAGTCTTAAAAATGGAAGATAACAAGGAGACAATGTCTCTGTCTCTCCTTTTTTCTTACTAAAATAGTACCTGTGCACCATCACATTTGTTTAGATTTCTTGGCTTTGTGTTACCTTTTTTCTTACGGGAGTTATGAGCTTCGGGTCTGTTAAAGGACATTATGCTCCTATGGAAATACAACAATTTTAGCTGTAAAAGGAGCAGTGCCTCTGTCTTGAAGAATGTCATCTTTTATGTCCTGCTGCTCCCATTTAATTACTATTCTTTTCCTATATCCCTTTCCTTACCTTGAAAATTAATAGATTTCATAGTATACTGGGTAGCTAGGAGGAAGCAGAGGGTCACTAAAGAGACGATCTGAAATAGTTCAGCACACCCTTAGGACAAACTGCAGAGATATTATTAAGTACCAGCAGCTTAAGAGGAACAAAAAGCAACTCCCCAAAACAAGAGTTGAGTAAGGAGCACAAAGGCATTAAAAATCCATGTGCTATAACTTCTGTTACCAGTCAATTTGGTCATTCCTGTACCAATGTGCTGGCTGATACTGAATAGCTCAGAAGAGCTCACAATCACAAAAGGGAAATTCTGTGCTAAAAGTGAGTTTAAAAATTTGGAATAATGCAGAGTTTCTGACAAGGACATTCAGAGAAGTGAAGAGTGAGCAGAGCTACTCACTGCCTGTTCAGCCATTAGAGAAGGTTAATTCCTTTGACAGGGCACTTTGCCAGCTCTGACTTAACCTGGCCATTTTGGAGTAATTAGGGCCATTTCAGAGTAGTCCAGTCCCACTCTTGCTGCTTCTCCTTGGAACAGGCAGCAGCTGAGAGTTTTGCAAAACAGATAATAAAAGTGCAAGTGTGGTGGGTCCTGCTGGCTCACATACATGTTAAAACATAGAGAACTGATCTGGGACAAAAGTGGCATTTTCAGACATCAAACACAGAGGTAATTACTGTCAGGGGAAAGGCTGGCACTGCTTAGAACTGCCTGGTAGGAGAATTTAGATGGAAATTACTAGATTAAAGTTTTTAAGTGAGGAAGGAATGATGCTTAGGAATTCTAAATTTTCCAATCAAAGCCAATCCATATTTTCAGAGCATTTTGGGAGGAAAAACATTTGGATATTTCATTAAAAACTTGATCTTTTCTTTTTTATGGAAGATTTGCAAGAATTATTTGCTCTAGCTTGGCTCTAGTTTGACGTACCTGGGCATCTGCCACTGCATGATTGTCCCACTCAGAAGAATATTGGGGGCAAAAAAACCCTCAGCAATCAGGTTTTAGAAAATTACTGTCTTTTTCCTCAGAATTTTCCTCTCCCACTGCATTCGTCCCTAATAAGAGCAAAGATCTTTATATCCTCACAGCCGCTGCTCAGCACATCTTGACCTACAATGCGCTGCTGCGAGTATCGGTACAGGTCATTAAAAAACTTAAATTAGAGATTTGAATGAAGCACAAAAATTTCCTGCCTGTAAATTCTAGACAGATTTTTTGTGTGATTGGTTTTTTCATTATGCCTTTAATCAATCTATTTGTATGCAGCTTTACTCTGACATAATAATAAATAATAATAAAACTGTGTTTATTATAGATTAACAGGAATTTTGTCAAACCTCAACAGAATCTGAAGCAAAAGTGTCATCAGGTACAGTGTGACCAGTTTCAACTTCACTTTTAAAGTAATTTGTACGAGAGTGTAGCGAAAGACACATTTCTGCACCTGAAAATGCTTTACAAGCATGCCAGTGCTTTTTCTCACAATTTTCTGCTTTTAACAAAAATGCTTGTAACAAAAAACTTACACTGGAAAAGGGAATGTTCCACGGTATATGATCAGTCATTCATTTTAAAAGCTTCTAAAATTCCACAGCTCCTCCACTTCTAACACAAGCTTTTTATTTTACTTCAGTAATTCAGAGCTTTCCATTGAGGGGAAAAAAAAAAAAAGGAGAAAAGAAAAAAAAAATAACAACAACAAAATCAAAAAACATCTAATTCAGAATTGCTAGGTTTCATGTATTTCATATTGGTTTTACCAAAACATCCTAAAGAAATAATAGAATAGCAGTATTAGGCAGAAGAAGATAAAGAGGTAAAGATAACAAAAGGGGATTTTAAAAATTACCAAAAAAGACCAAAATTACTTTAAAAAAAAGACCAAAAAGTGCAAAAATTCACAGGGACTCTAGACAGCTCCCATGGAGGGCCCAGAACTATAGCAAAAACATGTTGCACAGAGGAAGGTTTGGAATATGGCAACAGAGCAGAAGTCAGATGGAGGCATGAGGAGATAAAGGATGACCACAGACCACATTTAAATCAAGTACCTGGAGAGTCTTTATGCAGAAGCTGGGGCTGGGGGAATTTTGCTAAATACCTGTTCTCCAATGTGTTGAACTCCAACACTGTGGCTATTTGGGTCCCGAGCTCTTCATGTGTGGATGATCGTATCTTGGTGCCTAAAATTAGGAAGGAGACGGATGGCTTAGACACTGTGCAGCTGGTTTGCAAATGAAGGAGCAAACTGAAGACCTGATGTTAAAATGGTTTTCGTGCCCTTACAACCCACGTAAGTTACAGTCCCTAGGCCGTGCTTTGCTTATTCAACATACAGAAAAAGAAATAAGCACTGTGTTTGGCATGACTGTACGTACTTCTGATGACATTCTTGTGAAGACAGCCTGGTACACTGAGTTCCAGTGAGGGCATTGATACATAATACAAAAAGATCCCAGCGGTTTCTAAAGGCAACAGGCAAGTGAATCTTATGAGCTCAGAAATGAACAGGGGAAATCTAGAAAAACAATCCTTCAGCAAGTAATGCAGGGGGTTTATGCCAAACCCGAGGACTCTGGAGATTGTGCTGAAATTCACAGCAGGAATGTTGTTGGGACAATACTGAAAGAAATACTGAAAGACAAAGCACTGCAAGGAGAAGTGTCTGTGTAGGCAGTAATTCACCAAAATCAAGAAGTCTGCAGCCCCAGGAGCAGGAACACTGAGGGAGCTTGGTGTGCTGCCCTGAGAGAGGCAGGAAACAAAGGATACAGTGGTACAGAGTTGTTGTGGTCATGCTCTGCTTAAAACAATGCAGCCAATGGGAACTAAGCCAAGGAAGGGTCCAAATAGTGACCAAAAGTTGAACTTCACTTCATTAACTCAAAAATATATATTGCTTTTCACACTCCCTCATATGCCAACAAAATTAAACCTGTATATGTATTACACATGTGAATAAAGTCTCTCAAATGCCACCTGGTCATGAAATTACATCAGTTAGAACTTTACCTTTTTCCCACTCTCAAACTAAGCAATAGACATGTGACTTAAGAGGGAAAGGAGGTCAGAGGAGACTCCACCTTTCTAATCTGGGGCAGTTGAAGGTCTGCACCCATCTCTTCCCCCCATAATGATGCCTACGGTTGTGCTGATACCACTGACTTACCCTTTCTGATCTTAGTGCCATGGCAATTTCTGACCCATAGTCTGTCACAGTAATCAATAAATCACACTGTTCATGAAACACCATATTGCACATGACCAGACTTACAGCAATGAATTGGTTCTAATCAGAAATGGAGCCCAGCCACACCCAGCCCCTCTGATCTCTGAGGTCCAGCTGGAGCACAGGGTAAGTGGGGTATGTTCTGCCAAATTTCATACTTTAAAAATACTTTCTGTGAAAGTGTATGATTAAGTTGTTTCAGGTATTTGGACAGACAGTATACAACTAAGAAGGGGAAGATCTTGCTACCTCTGGCGCCACTGTCTGCTTCAACACTGCTTTGAAGTTTTCTCAAGGAGTAGCTTTTTGGCCTCCTGAACTCTTCAGCTTTCCTTTCCATGTGAGACAGAAGGTATATGTTCAATCTGCATGTTTTCAGTGTGGGCACTTCCCCTTTCTAGAGGTAGGGCAAAGCAGAACCCTTTACAAAGTGAATATATTTTTTCCTTCTCTCAGCAGCATAGTCCAACCAGGACAAAAGCACCATGCTGCAAAACATGGCAGTCACATGAAGGAAAAAGTTGTCACCACTCTGGGAACCTGCTGGTCACATAAATAAAGCAGAGCATTGTGTCATGAAACCACAAACATACAGTCAGGCTTCATAAAGGAAGAGAAATCCATCTTGCATGAACTACTGTGAACTGCTCAAGGTTCACTGCAGCTCCCACTCCTGAATTTGAGACTCTTCCAAAGACAGAGTGAGAAACTGAGATGGCAATTGAATTCAGTTTTGTGCTGATTTCATCACTGAATTCTTGCTTTATCCACAAAGCAAAGTGGAAGTTCACATCTCATCCAGATTTTTCTGGTCTTTTGTGTCAGTTCTAGACAGATCTGTCTCATGGCTGTCTCTAACCTGAAGTCCTATCACTGCTGGTTTTTGACATCTGAATCTAATTCCTCCAGGTACTCATATCTGAGAAGGTCTTGGTGTCTACTGTTTTTTTAGGGCAATGATGATGCATATGTTGTTATACTTCTTTCAAACTTCATTTTCCAAAGTTCAGTCTCCTCCTAAATGAAAACAATGACACTCACTGATAACACAGATCTTAAAGCATCTGGAATAGAGGAAGAATATGATTTTCTGCTTCCCCTTTAGTGCATAAAACTACACTGTCCATGTTCAGCTCAGTAGATTGTAAAATACTCACTTTCAAATTCCAGCTTTGGTTATTACCCTGCTGGCTGAATTCATGCCCCCAGGTATTCAAGTGTTCTTTCTTTGCCCAAATCTTAGACCTCACAGCCACAACTTAGAGCTACAGTGAATTTAACAATCCAAAACAATGATTGCACGGAATCAACTGGCAATGGGTAATTGCATTAGGAAAAAGAAGCATGATACCAAAAGGTTTTGTTGCACCCATAAATGAGCTACCTTTATAGAATTACTTAACCTACTAAGCATTTATAAATGGGTTTACTCTAATTCTCCTTCAAATCTTGAATTTATGACTTCAGTTTTAATGGACTTAGTCACTGAATTCTAAGTGTTCTGAACAGGTTCAACTAAAACATTTATTTTAAATAACTGTAAATTATATACTGAAAGCATGCACTTTGTTTTCTTCATATTATACTGTTTCAGTTTATTACAAAATAGACTTTTTCTCCTTGCTCTGCTATTTCAGTTTGTCTTTTATGGATATAGCTGATCAAACTTCAATAACTTAAGAACAGGGTTTACATTCTCCCTGTTGAGCCTTTATGTTTGATACATTTCACACTTGTATTTTCTTCCACTTCGCAGTCAAATGCAATGTGTGCTTCAAAATTTTTAGTGTTCTTATTTATGTGTTTTCCATGCTCTTTACTTTTGTATTACCACTACTAGTTACTAACAGCTTTTAAAAAGAGGAATTGGAATTTTCTTGATTGTAGGACTACAAAAATCTGGTTTATTGCTTGTTGGAAGAGCATCTTTTCTCTATGGTTCTATGAGCTCTGTGCTAATCTGTTCCTTTAATCCAGAAGAAAAAGATAATTATATTTTTACATTATTATTAATACTGAGTTGATAACCTGCAGATCTTCTCAGTTCTTTTCCATACAATTCACCAAACAGTCAGTTTTTTGAGGGCCACTAACAGCCATGTAACAACAATCAAGTTATCATTTTTTAAAGATCAAAATTTTTCATGTAGCCCAAATCAAAGCTGAGACTTTCAGTATTGCATTACAGGGTTGTGTTTTGTTGGTTTTTTGGGGTTTTTTTTCCGAACAGAGGCATCAATGTGCCAAATATCTGTGGATAAACTAGTAAGGACTGGCAAAATGACCTGCCCCTGCTGCTGCCTGGACTGTCCAAGAAGCTGTGGAGCTCCTCAGGGAAAATACTTGTTGGCATGTGAATCAAAGAGGTGTTCAGGCACCACAGCTGCATTCTCAATTGCTCTGTACTCAGCAGCTTCTGGTTCTGTCTGGCAAGATCCCAGACATAGCTTATGATTGATGAAGCCTGAATTTCAGGAAAGCATCCAGGATTTTTCACCTGTACTAATATTTTGGGAACAGACATTTTAGCAGAGCACAGCTACCTGAAACTTTGGCTCTTTCTGTCACATTTTATGTCCTGATAGCTAGAGAAGACTAGACAGAGCTAAACAGAAATTATTTTGTTTCTGAATGAAAGCTGAAAGTAGAAAATATCACTTAAGCTGAATCAGTTATGGTATCTACATGCTCCATTCATTAAATCAGAATAGCCTGAAGGAAGAGGAAGAAAAAATGGGGAATTACCACAGGAGGATGAAGAAACTCCTTTCTCCTATGTCCTCAATTAACTTTACATGGATCATCAGCTGCAGGCTGTGATTTGTCACCTTTGAATTATTTACAATTTGTTTAAAAAAAATAAAAATATGGCTACTATTTGACAAATGGTTTCTGGACAGGGACTGCTCAATCTCTGCATGCTCAGAAGTTTCCATGGCAACAGGCAAGTCCTTGGTGAAACTCAAAAATAACAATTAAAAGTAAATAGTTTTTTGTATGTATAGGATGCTTCCACTCACAGAGAGCTTCAAAAGAAAAGGTGGATCCCTCTCCATTACCCATCCCTCATAAAAGTCTCATAAGAAACAATAAGCAGATAGAAGAGTTTTGTGTTCAGAATTTCCAGTCAGTTTTAATCTTAGGTTTTAAGCACAGGGGAAAAAAAGCGTTCATACAAGCTAATACAAGTAAATACAAGTTAAAGACTGTCTCTAAAACAGGCCCAGAAGAGGATGAATATATTGCAAAACTTAGAAATTAAATGCCATTCACTTAATTCTGAAACCAGTATACCTGCTCTTATTCATCTGTGACAGTGGCAAGATGTTATGTATCCCATTGAAGAATTGGAGAACATACTTCCCCTCCCCTTTGTAATCCTAACAAGTGCAGAAATGAAATTGTGAACAGGGGAAAGAGATGAAAATGAAATCTTGGTCTAGCAGCAACTAATTCCTGATGTAAATGGAACTGGTTGAATTCTCTATCTCTGCTCTCCATCTAACCATTATCAGTGTTCAGTGTCCAAGTGTCCAAATGCTCCTCTCTGAGCCACATTTCTGCAGAACCTCATCAGCAGACACAGGGCTGGCTGGAGACTGAGACAACATAAGGATATTGTTTATAATGTGCAGAAAAGCTCTTCAGACACATTGTTTAAAGCCTTTTTAAAAATGACCTAAAGTTGCGTGTGCTGAGTCATGTCTGACAAAGACTTCTTCCTGATGCATGCAAAACCTGGACCAGTCAAGTGTAAAGAGAGAGGACCACTTCTGCAAAAAAAAAAATCATGAAACTATGAATTCCTAGAGCAAGGATGCTCTGGGGAGGTCTCTAGATCAGCTAAGGAGCTGACAAACTGTAAAAAAAAAGTCATGAAGGAGCATGACAAGTAACACCTGGGAAAAAACAGAGAAGCAAGCATGACTGCAGGAAAATTACTTGTTCTCTGTG